GTGCGTGCTACGTGCAAAGATTTTTCTGCAGCTGTGCAGAAGTGACGTCGAAGGTGGAACGGCCCGCATCTTGAGTGTTGTGCTTTGTGTATTGCAGATGACAACAACCAAGAGTGCGGATGCAAGCAATGATGATGAGGACGAAAGTTCTCTTGATCAATTCTTGAATTGTGTCATCCAATTTGTGGGCTATGTCTATGCAGCTTATGACATGTACCCTGGGACTTTGAAATGTGTGTGGCAGATTGTGATCATCCTTGCGTGTTTGCTGATTGCAACGAGATGCTGTGTGCACCGTCCGAGTGCAGAGGCAAACCCAGGAGTGACCGTGAATATCACATGTGGACCAGGTCCCAGCGAGGCTGCGCAGGTCAGTTTGCCAGTGCGTGGTGCAAGGCCGAAAGGACAGTCACGACCGAATGTGCAAAGCGAGGATGAGAGGGCCCAGAGCCCCGGTGCGCTTGAGACGCACCAAGACGGCTGCCGCCCCGGGTCATCGGGTGATCTTCATTTGCACATGCCGCTTGATACCGCTCGCGATGTGCGTGTGAGTGTGAGCCGATCCGGGAGCGAGCAGACCGACAGATCGTCCAATGACATTCCGAATGCAAGGCCCATTCCCCGGCGGCGAATGCCGCCACAGCAGAATGCAGATGGAGTTTGGGGTGTCATCGAGCCGAATCGAGCCAAGGTTATGCATTCCACAAGGCGACGTGTGGGAAGCTTAATCAGAGTGCAGGTGTGACCGAGATCACACGTCAGCGTGCAATTGAGAAAGGCTACCGTGCATGCAGGATTTGCAAACCTTGAGAAGCATGCCAATCTTCTTGTGATGCCGTGCTCGTGCTCTTACGTCTTGCTTTTATAATGCTCATGAGTCATGAGGCACAGTGGATGCCATGTACATAGTCAGTCAGCTATGCCCAGGCGTGGTTGATTGACAGGCTGCCGATGGTTTCCAATGGTTGTACATAGCTTGACAAGGTATGGCATGGACGGTGTGATCACTTGAACGAAGGCTTGCAGCATGTTGCTGTCAATCCGCGAATGATACCACATTTTCTTGAGCCGTGGAGCGGCTCAGTGCTGCAGTGAGGTGCATTTGGCACCCAAGAACAGAAAGCTCATGAACCAACATGAACCCGCCTTTTCCTTGACAACTTGTGAAGGCGTCCGCTTGCGTCAGTCAAAGCGTGCAGTTGTGTCCCCGGCTTATAAGGTCGCGGATACAACTCCGTAGACAGAGTAGTGTACAGTCTACTCGTAGTTACTTGTAGTCAACATCCGAGCAAAGCCTTGAGCCGGCTAAAACAAGCCCAATACGCGAGTCTAGTCAAGTGCACTGGAGCGTGTTTAAACGTCATACAAGCTGTTGTTTCGTACTTGCGGAATCGTTCAGCACAGTATGCCCCTGAACGCACAGGTTCATCCTGAGGCGGGGTACGAACGATTTTCCGGTATTCGTGAGCATAGTTTCCTACTTGTTTTATCATGCATTTTATTTTCGCTACTTTAGGTGTGCACTTGTGAATTCCGTTACGACCGAAGGCTTTTGTTGCTCAGGAGTGTGGAAAAGTTCGTAGATGCTCATTATGGAGAGAAAGACAACGGTCAACCCCCGTTCAAGCTGGGTCGTGCACTAAAATTCCAAAAGTCCATTGCAAAGACAGGTAGAGAGTCCCACAACGGGCCGGCAGCAAGAGGTGCGCGTACAAGGACGCAAGGATCGTTGCTTCCGCTCGGGAGGTGAAGGAAATGAATGCAGTGGACGACCAGTGCAAAGTCGGCGTGGCTGCGCCGGCCAGGTTCCGTGAGGGCACTTTGGCCGACAGACATCCCAGTGGGACAACCTTTGTAGGTGCGGGGTGGCATAAAAGGCCAGCCATCAATAGGACGGCTCCTCAAGCTGGAAATATGCTTATTTCCATGTCTTGGAAGCTTTTTGCTTTGCATTTGGGGGGAATGCAAAATTGTGGTTTGCATTCGGACATTCCTGATTCTGAAATTTTGATTCGTTAACCCCCGGGAGCGTTTTTGTGTGGCTTTCTCTCTTTGATATGTGGTCTGCACGGCTTAGGAGCGGGGTTGGTGTTGTCCCAACCCCATACGCCGGGTGAGGGTTGACCAGGTTTTCAAGCCTTGTTGTTTGAGAAGACGTTCATTCCTGATTCTGAAGTTTGATTCGCTTTTGACCCCCCGTAGCGTTTTCGTGTGGCTTTTTCCTTTGTATGGATGGGGCGGGTAATGCTACCTGGCGTTCGACTGCTTCATTAGAATTTGATGTGTGGTCTTAGCGGCTTAAGAGAGCGGAGGAGGGTCTTGAAGGGGCGCCACAGGAGGGGCCTACTTAAAGCCTTCTTGTTCGCTGGGAAAGACGTTTCGTTTCGATTGTTCTTATTTCTTTGTTTTTAACCCCTTTGAAGAGTTTTCACCCTCCTTCTTACGTGGAAGAAAACGTTTTTCTGAGGTTTTCGCGGCTTCAGAGAGGGAAGGGGTTGAAGGCGCTCGAAAGGGGGGGGGCACTAACAACCTGAACCTGGGGTTGTGGGTTCGGGTTAACCCCAAGTCCAACCTGAGGTTGTGGTTCGGGTTAACACCACGGTAACCGTTACCCTAACCTTTGCGTCGGGGTTAGGGTTCGGGTGAACCCAAACCCCAACCCAGAACCGCCACGGTCAGGGTTCGGGTTAACCCCAACGCCAACCTTGAGTTGGAATTGGGGTTGAATTGAACCCTAACCTCGACGCGTCTAACCTGAGGTTATCTGCAGAAGACGTGAAATTTTGATTATTCTTATTTCTTTGTTTTTAACCCCTCTGAAGCGTTTTCGTGCTGCTCTCTCTTTCTTATGTGTGGAAAAGCCGTTTCTCTGAGCGAAGGGGTTGAAGGCGGCCGGCTCGAAGGGGGGTTGTGGGTTCGGGTTAACCCCAAGTCCAACCTGAGAACGGGGTTCGGGTTCTGAGGTTATAGTTCGGGAAAACCCGAACCCACAACCTCAGGTTCAGGTTGTTGGAGCCTCCCCCTCGGACCCGGCCTCGGGGTTACAACCTGGGTTCAACCCCAACCCCCAACCTGCCCTGTGAACCTGAGGTTGTCGGTTCAGGTTAACTCCAACCTTAACCCGGAACCAGGGTTGGGGCAAACCCCAACCCCACCTCAGGTTTGGAGTTTGGGGTCCACCATCTTTGGGGCTGGCAGTTGGGGTTGGGGTCATCCTGAACCCTAACCTCGACGCCAGGGTTCAGGTTGGGGCTAATCCGAACCGTGTGTTTAACCCGATCCCCAACCTCAGGTTTGACTTGGGGTTAACCCGAACACACAACCCCCCTTCAAGCCGGCCGCCTTCGGGTCAGGGTTGGTGTTATAACCCGAACCTCAGATCAGGTTTTGGGATTATCCGAACCCACAACCTCAGGTTCGGGTTGTTGGCGCTCCCACCCCCTTCGAGCGCCTTCAGCCCCTCTCTGAAGCCGCGAAAACTTAAGACAAACGTCCTTTCCACGTAAGAAGGAGAGAGCCACACGAAAACGCTTCAGAAATTCAAAGCAAAGAAACGGCTTCAAGCAGATCCCCTTGTGGCGCCCCCCAACCCCCTCCGCCGCTGTCGTTGGGTAGCGAGCCGTCGGGCTTTCAAACTATTGGACAGCGAGCCGTCGAGCTCCGAAGCTGTGAGCTAGCCGTCGGGCTAAAGTGGATGGCGATGGATTCGACCCGGATATGTTTGCTCATCCATCCACCTAGCGGAGCCATGCGCTTCGATAAGCTGCCCCTGCGCTGGTCTGTTTCACTTCACCTGGTGAGGTTTCGGTAGAACTTCTGACGCCCAAGGACGCTCTGGATGCTGCACAACGGCGGATTCAAGGGCCTAAGTCCAGGGGAAAACTACAAGAGTCCGGCCACTTGCAATTGGACGAAAGCGACTGCTTTGGAGATCGCTCTGTCTGTTTGGGAACGGCCTTCATCTTCTGTCAAACGAGCTTTCTGGCTGTAGTTGCAAAAGAATAGAGTGACGGTCGACGGCAAAGCATGTTCATCCCTTCAGGTGCCGTGCAAAGTTTGGCGCTGCATGCAGAGCACATAACACAAACGACCCACCCTTCCACCTTGGAGGGGATTGAGGCACCGCTTGTGATGTGCAAGGGCCCGTCATGAGTCATCATCTTTAACTTTAACAGACTTTTGTCACAATGGGCCGAGGAGCCCAACCAAATGCGAAGCCATCTCCCGTCTGTGCAATGTCCGTTGCCTGTGCGCTTGCGAGTTTGGTATATATGGTACCAGTATGATTGATTGGAAGCAGTTCATCAGTATGTCTAATACTTTGTTTGACTAAATTTCTCGTTCATATGTATTCCTTTTGATTGATCTCGTTTGAAGGATTGGCAAACAGAGACAAATAAAACTAAGCAGAATTCAGCATTGTCGTCGATCAAAAATCTGAGGACACCAGACGCCAGCTGCACCACTAGGAGGTGGCTCCAAAGGATCTAACGCGCCCGGAGGTGTGAATGCAGAGCCACGCAAAGGTTGCAACGGACAGCAGACCGCAGAGCCGGGTTTCAGCCGCGGTCGTCGAATGCCGTTCAGACCCCCGTGCGCTTAAAACGCAGAGACCGGGCAGCCGTGAGGTTGCACAAGAGCAAAGGCCTCCGGCGCATGGGGTTCGCAGCACGCGGTATTCAAATCATCTAGGATCATCCTTCTTGCTATGTGAGGGTTTTTTTGATAGCACAAAGAGAAACCGGCCTTTCGCACTTGAGATTGAAGGGGCATGGATGGGCTGCGCTGCGATGAATTTTGGCCTTCGGGTGCATGTACAACGATCATTTTTGCAGTTGACTGGGCTGCTGGTTCGAAAGCGGACAGAATCCCAGTACTTAGTTGTCCTGTGCGATCCGTGTTTTTCCCAACGAATGAAGCAAACCATGATGTTCTGGCGGATGTGGTTCATCTCGCCTTTGATGGCAATGAAGCTGGACAAGTCCAACCCAAGTGACGTCATGGTGAACAACACCTTGGAGGACCTTCAGGAAATGGCCGACATGCCGAATCCTGGCACAAACAGCAATGATGCCGAAGCTAATCTCGGTATCGGGCGATTGGCAGCGAACATTGAGTTCTTACTGCTGAAGGTTGCCGAGCTTGACACCTGGCAGACTTGGGGGTTTGCTGAGTTCAGGGTCAGTGGTTGAGGTTTGGGTGGCCTGGGCCTGCCCTTAAGGAAACCGTCGTCGAACTTCAGCAGATCGAGCTGAACAAAGTCTCAGGCTGCTGCAGTTCGTCGTTGCTACAGACGAAGAAAACGAGAGAGCAAGAAGGTGCCCGGCAGGCAGAGATCATTTTGGAGAGGGTGCTTCAAAAGCACCACAACGAGCGCGAATCGAGCAAGTTTGTGACACCGACGGAGAGCGTGGAAGGGATGAGCCATGCGCCAACCCCTTCTCCAAGCCCAGTGCCAAAGCCTCCCGCCAAGAGCCAAGAGGTCAGCCTCTTGGAACGTCGGGAGAGCTCGTCCTCGAAACAGTCCGACGAGGTGCTGGAAAGTACTTTGCAGAGCAAGGAAGGTGGCGTCAACCCACTCGGCTGGGTAAACAAGGCTGTCGACAAGGTTAAGGACGCCACCAAAGCCGGCAATTGCAATATCGACCCCCCTTCATTTAAGCTCAACGGCGACAAGAGTGAGTTGAGCTTGTTTAACGCCGGGTGCTGGATCTATGTTGCGGGTAAGAAGGTCACAGTCGTCTCGTTTGATTTCAGTAAATATAAGCTCTCTGTACCTTGGCCCGAACCTCTGAGCACCGTGTTCAAGGCCATGAAGGCCGTGAAGTCCCTTGTGAAGCTTGGCGAGAAGCTCGTAGACTGCGCGACCAATCGTTTTGAAGGGAACGATATCCGGACTTCGGCGGACGGCATTGTGACATGCCTTGGCAACAGCATCATCGACCACGTGCCCCCCTTCAGCCACCTGAAGAATTTGAACAACATTCTTGGCGACTTTCTGGAGGGGTTTGCCAAGGTGGCGGGCACAGTGGCTGGAAAGGTCTTGAAGGGGGGCTCGTCCTTGATCCAAGAGGCCGCCCTCTCAAAGTTTCCGGCCGTTGGAGCTTCACCGGTTGTGCACCATTCAGGTCGCAGCCTCGTGATCAAAACCCACAGCCGAAAGCACAAGCAGAAGAAGAAGAAGATGTCGGCCCTTCAGGTGCAGGGCGATGAGGATCCTCCCAATGACGGTATCAGCTTCAACCTTCACGACGAAGGGAGCAACTACCAATCCAAGCTGGTCACACAGCCCTCTCTACTGCACTTTAGACCCGTACGTACACCGAATCCCCGAAAGCATCCGAATGCCAAGAGCCATTCCTTTCAGGTTTCAGGGCTACGAGAAGGATACAAGTTCCTGTCTGGCTTTTGCTCCGAAGAGCAAGCACGGGGCCGACGGTCAGGCGACTGAAGCGGACTGGCAGGCGGGTTTCTCAGTTTCCCTTCTCCCTAGGCTCCCGAGTTCTCGGACTCAGTTTCACACTGCTCAGGTACAGAATGAGGATGCATTCGTGGCGCTGGAGCCTTGGGCCGTGCCGTGCGGAAACGATTGGATGAAGAGGAACTGGAACAAATGGCAAGGCAAGCATTTGTTAAAGCACGTCAAGTGGAGTTGTGTACACCGGCTGTACACTGTGCAGTATCGGTATCGCCAGTGCCCGTAGGGTGGCAACAGAAAGATTCAGGTAGATTGCCTGTTTCCATGCTTGCACGGTCTTTGCTATTGACTGCTGTGGGTAGACTTTCGTAGTCACTAGCGGAAATAGCGGAAGGCTTCTCCTTCTACACGGGCGAGTCGGCCATCGAAAGGTGCATGACGGTAACATACGGCATCAATGTCCAACCCGTGGTGGCCTTTGTGGGAGGTGTGCAGTTCGACGTGATGCCCGAGCCATTAGCATCGGTAGACACCACCGTGTGTTGGCCTGAAGGCAGGCCTGACGGCCAGGACTTGAGCCTGCTGCGCACCGAGATCAAGTCAAGTGGCGTTCTACTCTTTGGCCGGTCCCTCCGCCTGAGCAAGCGATTCGGCAGTCCCACGCACTTTGCGGGACAGCACACGCACGCCAGCACCGGAACCTGGCAAGGCTCCACCAACCCCCAACAGGCCATCTCCAGGACGAAGCTTCTCCAAACGAGCCAAAACGAGGCTCGCCAGGCCTCCAACGAGTCCGGTGCGGCAAACAATGCTCGGGGCGAAGAAGCACAGGAGGACCAGGGCCTGCTGGAGTGGATGGAGGAGGAGGACCTGTACCTGGCCTCCGCAAACTACTCCGACCTTGGGATGAACTTGACCTCAGAAGCAAGGTTGCATTTAGAAGACGTGTGCACTGCCTCCATCAACGGCAGGTGCATTCCAAAAGCGCTGTGAAACCGGTTGAGTTGATGTTGACTTCAATGTAATATGTCCCAGGTACTCTTCTGGAATGTAGTCATGTCATGTCCCTGACATTCCCCGCGTAGACACGAGAAGCCTGGACTCGAAACTCCGTAGAGTCTAAGCCTTATGAGAGACAAAGGGTGGTACTTCCCCCCTGGGGTGAGGAGCTTCGCGGCGCAGCGGCAGAACGACAACTGAGTCTCATTGCCACCAGGGCTCAGGGAGCATCTTGGAAGCGTTTTCTTGATGAAGCTACTACTTTCGGGATTTGGGGCTTGAGGCTTCGAGGGTAGCCTTGGTTTGGCTGGTTGAGGCCTTCGAGCTCTTCAGTTTCAACTTCGCGAAATCCGGGATGGTGAATTTCGAGCTCAAGGCCCTTCTGGACGGGACCAGCCTGGAGATGCGCACGCAGTTGAGCTTCGCCGAGCGCTTCAAGTCCGAGGAGAAGAAGTTCCTCGGGCTGTTTAGAAAGGGTATGTCTGTCTGCCTGCCCGGCTGGCTGTCCGTGTGTGCATGCATGCCTGTATGCCTGTATGCCTGTATGCTATATGTGTGTTTGTCTGTATGTATGTCTGTACTGCACATAGGTATGTACATGTGTATTTAAGCAGGTACGTATGTATGTATGTGTGTATGTACGTGTATGTATGTATGTATGTATGTATGTGTGCATATATATATATATACATGTATGTATGTATGCTTGTGTATATGTATGCGTGGTTGTTTGTGTCCTTGTATGTGTGTGTGTGTGTGTGACAACCCTGTATCCAAGGGCCTTCTCCTCACGCTCTGCAGCCATTTCCTATTTACGATGTACATATAACTGAACTTGAGTGCAGATTACACAGCAGGGGCTTGAGTGCAGATTACACAGCAGGGGCACCAGGGGTGTGTGGCTTGGCCTGGTGCAACGAAGCTCCAGTCACACACCAGGATATGTCGGGGGACGCCTTGACCACGTACCTGCACTTTGCTTGTGACGCAGTACATGGACTTACGCTGTGTATTGGTTATTCTTCGTATTGCGTATTGCTGCTGTTAACGGGTATGGCCCGGGGCTAAGCCGAGAACCCCAACCAGTCGTTCTCCTGCAGCTATGGTATCACTTCAGAAACAGTCAGTGCTTGAGTTCATGTCGTCTGGTATGCGCTGGTTTCTGGATGGCCTGGGGCTAAGCCGAGAACCCCGTTTAGCGCGTACACTTTCCAGCATTGCTCAGTGCCAGTGTCCACCTCTTCAGTCCTTGCCGTGTCCTTCGGTGCGTTGGGGTTCAGGCTGGCGTTGTGGTTTAGTTAGGCAGGTTGAGGTGTCCGCCACAGACTTTCTGCACTTCATCTTTGCAGTTGCTGTCCATGAAGCTACCTGTCCGAAGTCTCTGATGTGTGGTCGCTTGAGACCTGGACATCAGGTGGTCCGTCGCATACCGAAACCTTCCTTAGCATTCAGTGTGTAGTCCTCCGGGACGGTGGTGTATGCCTCGGTGCTGCACTCAGATCCTCCAAGTTCGGAGGCGCCAAATTCAGTGTCAGCGCTCAGACCAGTTCAATGGAGAGAACCGTGAAGCCACATGGCCTACCCGCCTCTCATGGCACCCACAAATTCGGCTTCATGCCTACCAACACGCGATTGCAGCTCAAGCGGCTTCAAGCACTCATACCCAAGGACTCAGGCAGGATGCGTTTTGACCGTAATGTTCTAGCGACTTTTCCCTGTAGTAGTTGTTGTTGTAGGCTGTGCATTGCTTGTCTGCATTCGCCATGCCTCCTCGTCCCCGTCCATCCTGTGCACCTGGACTCTGGCCGACCGCACCCTCTCGATCACGATCTCGGCGACGCCTGAGGTCTGCGTCTTCATCGTCCTCTACTTCTTCTTCCTCGTCAACGCCGGCGGCACCTACGACCCGGACTGCCGCACCTCAACGTTCCACGTTGACTGGCCGAATCGCTGCCCCGTTACAGCCTCCACGACCTATTGATATGGCAGCTCCAAGCACTCTCCCTGATCTTTCTCCTCTTCCTCCGAGCCCGTTTTGGCCTGGTTTACCTCCCGCTGGCTCCCCGCCGTCTTCCTCCAACAACGACCAGTCCGTGCCTGCTGCTTATGCCTCTACCTCGCCGCCGGACCCGTCTTCTACCCCTACGGCATCTTCGACTTCGCCACCTACAGCATCTTCGACTTCACCAGCTCCTTTCAGCTCTGCTTGCACGCTGGCCACCTTACGCCAGTGTTTGGCCGCGGCAGGCCAGCTTGATGCCTACCTGCAATCCGATTACTCTACCCGACTGGGCTCCCTCAAGGCGGTACACTGGGATCGAGTATATACTGCATTGCTGCAATACAGGTCCTACTTCAAAGCGCTCCCTCATCGTCGACAATGTCAACAGGAGTTGCTCTTGGAGGGACGCAAATTTGACGTGCCTTTTACTTTAGCCGATCCGATTCTTACAGTGATGCATCTGCTGGTACATGCGGGATACCATCCTCACAGTGTTCAGTTCAAGTTCACACATGTCGAGGCTCCTCAACATCAACCAGACAAAGCTGGCCGACCCATGCTCATGGTGTCGCTCCCCTTCCCCGCAGCAGCTGTACGGGTTAGCGGGGCACCTGCAGTCGCCTATTTTGGCCATAACACGGACCTTCAGGCCGCCTTTGGCATCCTGAAAGAAGGATGCATTCGCCCCAGCAACTATGACCCCGTTGACACTTCTTGGCTGCCGAGTCCTGCCTTTTACTCTCGCGCTTCCGTCCACAGTCTCAGCGGAGCCTTACGGGCTGCAGCCAAGTTTGGGGGATGGGGTTCTCCCCGTCCGATTTGTGTATATGGCCGAATCCCTATTTGCTATCTCGACATAGCCAATGCCACGCCTACCGACACACCGTCTTCAGTGCTTCCCAACACTCCCGCGGCCTATCACCTGAAGAGCGACAGCGGAGGCACCGTCCCCGAAAACGCGGCGAACTACTTCGTCTCCATCCTGCACGGCAACGACAACCGTTGGGGTGTGCACTCCACGCTCGCACAACCAGAAGGCATCGCCGTGTTCATGTGAGAGGACCCACAAAAGGTGTGCGTGATTTGCGTTATGGCATGGCTGGTCTCTTTGTTGTTGCCGCCTTATTCTTCTTCATCCCGCAGCCGTTTTGCTGAACTAAGTGTGACCTTGCTAGCACATCATGGCCTCCTCCGCCTTCACTCCTGAATATTTGCAGTTGTTCTTGGTGTTTTTCGAGTCGTTGTCCGACCACCAACTGCTCCAAGTACGTGATGTATTACTACGAGCCCATCAGAATCGATCGATGTTGACTCCTATGACACCGGTGGCTACGACAACTACTCCACCACCTCCGGATGCTCCCCCACCTGCCACGGCGCTGCTCACCTCCAGTGACCCAGGCCCTTATTCCTCTTCTGGACCTCCAGTACTTCCAGACAGCAGTGGTAGAGCAGCTGTGATGCCTGCGACTCCCATGGGACCACCAGTACTTCCAGACAGCAGTGGTAGAGCAGCTGTGATGCCTGCGACTCCCATGGGACCACCACCGATTCCGTCTCATTTGGATCCTTCTCATTTGGATCCCTCCCAGCGCCAGACCCTACCACGACTTCGCAGACGGGACCGCGACTATCCCCGAGATGAAGACCGTTCTCGCCCTGCAGACCGCGATCGGGATCGTCATCGCCGGCGACGTCGCTCAGTATCGTCACCTCCTGCTGACCCACTACCTGCCGGCCCTTCTTCTCCTCCGATGCCATCTACTTCGGGATATTCTGATGCCAACCCGATCGGCCACACAGCTCCACCCCCCGCCGTCTCCAAGCACTCTGGACGCGCTCTTGCACCTAAGGTTGATGCTGACGGTACTGTCATTTACGTGCCTGTCAAAGCCCGACCACAAGTTCCACCTCCGCGGACCACAACGGCGACAACTGGCCGATCCCGCAGTCGGCGTCGCCGCCGCGATCGTGCTGACCGAGACCGTGACGATCGTGAGGATCCTGACCGCTCTCGAGGTGCGCGTGATGTTCCCCATCGCGATCGAGACCGCGATCGACACCGACGGGATGTGAGCGGCGACCAGCAGCGGCCACCCTTGACTCTCTACTCCGTCGCTCGGGCCTGAACAAAACATGCGCCCCCGCGGACTCTGCGCCTCCTTGTTTCTTGGTTGTTCCGCAGCCATTTCCTACATCATTCCACAGTCTTGCGCTTCCCTGACACCACACATGTCTTTCCGACGCTCTGCTCCCTTTTCATCTTCTGCCTCCTCTTCCTGCTCCACATTGTCGTCATCCACTTCGGCAACTGTTCGGGAGTACTTGGACGTATTAACTGATCCTTTCATTCTCTTCCGGGTGTTCTTACTATTCTTGGAACTTCGTCTACGTACAGCTCTCGTCCCTCCGGACTCGATGATGGACACTGCCTCTGCCCGTACACCTGCTCCGGACTCCACTTTAAGGTGCCTCTTTCCTATTGCTGAACTACATGGCCAGGCCCTTGCGTTCCGGACGGAACGCGACTATCACCTTCACTATGCCCTCGCCGAGATTACATTTCATCCCCGTGCCGTTGCTTCTTTGATGGTGACCTGCTCGCGAACATATTACGCAGTACGAGCCCTTCTTCGTGATCGTGGACTTCAATACGCCTTCTACGTGGAACGCACCCCCGATCTTCCACGGTCACATTCTTCTCGACCGCGCCTGTCCATTTTCCATCCGTTTTGTCCACAACAAGTCCGTGGCATGGCGTTACACCGTGGACTTCAGCATTGGGTCTTCATTCCCTCCAGCTACCAGGAGTTACCTCTGATCCGGCTCGGACGTTTCTCATGATGCGCACTCAGGACCTGGACAAAGAGGACTATTTGCTACCGCAGCAGTTCCTAAGCGAGCTCATTCCCCGCAGCCGTTTTTATTTTGGCTCCTTTCGCCTGCTTCCTCACGCCTCCTCCCATTCTTCCTCCTCCTGATGCCTCCACACCGTTCTCGCACTCCACCTTCCCGACACCATCGTCTACATGGACGTGATGAACCTTCTCGACATGATCCCTATTCGTCCCAGCGGAACATGACGACGCAACCTCCCAGGTCGGGGTCCTTCCGGGACAATCGCGCATACAGCCGGACGTCTCCTCCTCGGTCCCGACGACATCGCAGCCGCACTCCGGTGTCCAACACGCCGGAACATCACCGCCACCGCAACCGTGGCCCTTCGATCGGACAACGTCGACATCGAGATCCTGACGCTGATTCTCCCCCACGACGCCGACTACACTATTCTTCACCACGGCCATCGTCTCGACGACATCCTCTTCCTTCCGCCTCTGACCGACGGGCACCACACTCGGACAGCCGGGTGCACTCCACTCCTCCACCTCATGACGATCCATCCCACTATTCCTCCTCCGGTGCACCTCCAGCTCGACGTGAACCTCGCCGTGATCGTCGCGATCCTCCTTCCGCTCGGGATCATCGCCTACTTCAAGAACGCTACGAAGACATCTATTCGCTCGGCGCCAACTGGGAAACCACCGACCTCTTCCTTGATGCGAACCCAGACCGCGGTTTCCCTTTACCGCGCAATGTCGTAGACACTG